AATTCATATTTACTTTGTCATTACTTGTGACAAGTCTTTTTCCTTTTTACAGGTAAGCCAGCTAAGACATGTTTTAAAGTAGGAGATTATAGGACCTCCCCCAGGGTCCTGCACTCAAGTCAGTTATACCCTATCCTTCAACATCAAGCTTTGAACCTCTATTCTAGAAATAACTTTTATTATATTCAGACTTGAAGCATGTGAACATAGCATGCTCTGGTGCCTTCACCCTTGCTCCCCTCCTTCCTGCACAGTTCTTTGCAATGAGAATATTGGAAATAAGGATTTAATGTGGGCTAAGGCAGAAAGGTAAGCTGAGGCAAATGTTTAGAGGATCCTAATGGTAATTTTTAAATGAAGAAGTGGGGTGTTCAAAATATTAATTTATTTAGATGTATGCAGGTAGTGAGCCAGAGCCCCTCCCCTTATGCCTCACCAACATTACATGTACTATCTTGGTAAACTACCTATGAATACATTTTGATTCATTTCACTTCATTAAAAAGTGGGAGAGCTCAAAGTCATGTTTGAGAAAGCTAAATCTAAAACAAAACGGAGGAAGCATTGAATAGGCTCATCTTGTTGGATAGGATCATCCTAGTAATAAAATATAATGAAGGAAAGGACTTATAGCTATATTTTTAAAGCTGCTTGCTGGATTTTCCCCAACATTTTGTTGTGAAAGTTGTCAAACATACATACAGAAAAGTTGAAAGAACTGTACGGCGAAAAGCCATATACCCAACACTTAGATTTTATAATTAACATTTAATTATACAGTCGTGTGTTGCTTAAAGACAGGATGTGTTCTGAGTAATGCGTAATTAAGTGATTTTATTGTGTGAGCATCACAGAGGGCTGTACTTACACTAACCTTGATGGTATAGCTTACTATACGCCTAGGCTATATGATATAGCCTATTCCTCCTAGGCCACAAACCTGTACAGCATGTTGCTGTATTGAATACTGTAGGCATTTGGAACACAATGGTAAGTATTTATATATCTAAACATAGAAAAGGTACAGTAAAAATGTGGTGTTATCATCTTATGGAACCACCATTGTATATGCGCCTATGACTGAAATGTTACTAAAAGGTTCAGGACTGTTTGCATTATCACATTAACTCATCTTTGTTGAGTTGGTTTTAAAAATCCGTCTGTCATCCATGTTAATGTCATCTATATCTGACCCATCATGGTGCTGAAAAAGTTTCTTTTCATTCTTATTTGTACCTTCTAAGTCGGCATGAATACCAGCACATCTCAACTATGTGTAAGCAGATCTGTGCAGGAATGAGTCTCGGGGAGAGAATCCATGTTGTTTCTGAAAGGAAATAGCCATAGCTCACTGCTTTTTTTTTTTTTTTTTTTTTTTTTTTTTTGAGAGAGTCTTGCTCTGTCACCCAGGTTGGAGTGCATTGGCGTGATCTTGGCTCACTGCAACCTCCGCCTCCTGTCTTCAAGCAATTCTCTGCCTCAGCCTTCTAAGAAGCTGGGATTACAGGCCCCTGCCACCACGCCCAGCTAATTTTTGCATTTTTAGTAGAGATGCGGTTTTACCATCTTGACCAGGCTGGTTTTGAATTCCTGACCTCAACATCCACCCGACTTGGCCTCCCAAAGTGCTGGGATTACAGGCGTGAGCCACTGTGTCTGGCCAGCTCACTGTTGTTTACTGAAAATAGTAGAGGGAAGGAAAGATGGAAGTCTAGGTCAAGTGTCATACTGCCCTGTACCTTACTCAGTTCTCTGCCTTTGGGGTAGGTGGTTTTCTGAGCAGCTTCTGCTTGTTTCTTTCCTTTAAGGCTTGCTAAAGGAGAAAAAACAACGTCATATTGAAATGCTAATGAGGCAATATTTAGCATTAGCATAATTCTTTGGAATTCTAGCAAATGGATTTTTAACTTGTGCTACTAATAGTATTCTTTCAGCCTTTTCTGTTAGCAAGAGCTGCAGTTTCAATTAGGAATCACCATGAAATTTTGTTTATCTTTGTCCATGGACATGATAATGTTAAATGTTACCTGTTTGTGTCTGTCTCCTTTGATTTAAATTCAAGGGTACAGACCTTGTTTTACTGATCTTGGTAATTCTCTTACACTGTAAGGTTTGTATTCATCTATAGGGATATACCCCCAAATATGTGTTTAACATTATTACAGAAGATTTAGATATGAGCACATTTTCGTGGTGTTCATAACAGCTAAATAATGGAAAAACTTACCTAGTCAAGAATAGGAATTTGGCTAAATACATTTTGTTGTAATGGCACAACATAGCCATTAAAAATAAAACGTCTTGTAGATAAACATTTGACTTGGAAAGTTGTATACAGTATATTAATTAAAAACGGGCTAAAGAGCAATAGTATGATTTCATCTAATCATTGTAAAATAAGAATTCATGTTTGTGCATGTACATGAAAGTTGTTGGAAGAACATACCCCAAGTGTTAAACTTTCCTGGGATTCTGGCTGATTTTTGCATTCTTTGCCTAATATAGTTCTGGAATTTTTTTTTTTTTTTTTTTTGCAGTGTTCATCTATGACTTTCAAAGTTAGAGACACATTGAAACTATTAGGCCGGGTGCGGTGGCTCAAGCCTGTAATCCCAGCACTTTGGGAGGCCGAGGCGGGTGGATCACGAGGTCAAGAGATCGAGACCATCCTGGCCAACATGGTGAAACCCCGTCTCTACTAAAAGTACAAAAAATTAGCTGGGCATGGTGGTGCGTGCCTGTAATCCCAGCTACTCAGGAGGCTGAGGCAGGAGAATTGCCTGAACCCAGGAGGCGGAGGTTGCGGTGAGCTGAGATCGCGCCATTGCACTCCAGCCTGGGTAACATGAGTGAAACTCCGTCTCAAAAAACAAAAACAAAACGAAACTATTTCCATTTTAAAATTGTTGACCTAAACAAAAGTAGAATAAATGGGGATGGCGAGGGGGCCTGGAAACTGGAGAAATTTAGTTCAGAAAAGAGCTGGGTGGGGTGGGGGAAGGGAATGGTAGAAATAAGATCACTGTCTTCAGAGGAAGGCACTAATTACTACCTACCCCTCTATTCCTGGCTCCTTAGTACAAGCATTTTCTGGATCAGTGTTTACACTTACCATTTATTTCCCAGTTAGGCCCTCCACACGTTCTTTTTCTACCCTTGTCCCTCTGGGCTTTAAAGCTACAGTAATTGCTAGTGGCAGCAGCTGCTTATGAATATGCAGGTCTTGCTCTAGTAAATGGTGGCCTTAGTTGTGCCAATAAAGAGATGGCTCAAGCCTATCAAGGCTCCTGCTTCCCCTCTCCTCTCAGCTAGGCAGCACTAATCTTCCATAACTACGGTGGGAGAACTTTCTACCTGGGTCTCATGGTCACTAGTAGATGAGAGGACAGATACTTTCTTGCTGGTGGGTAAGTCCTGGGTAACTGCTCCTTGGGTCTTCCAGGGGTTTCAGTTGAGGGTTGCCTGCATTTCACTGAGTAAGTAACAGAAAACTTAGCAGTATATGCTAGTGCTGCCAGCATATAATGATAACAGTAACTGGGCTTTGGGCTATTCCTGAATTGCCAGATTTCTGGGTTACTTTTCATGCTAAGTAGCTAGGGACTGAGAAACTTACAGGCAGTAGGCTGCTTCCTTAGAAAGAAAGGATCCTCGCCAAGCGTGGTGGCTCAAGTCTGTAATCTAGAGTTTTGGGAGGCTGAGGCGGGTGGATCATGAGGTCAAGGGATTAAGACCATCCTGGCCAACATGGTGAAACCCCGTCTCTACCAAAAATACAAAAATTAGCTGGGCATGGTGATGTGCACCTGTAGTCCCAGCTACTAGGGAGGCTGAGGCAGGAGAATCACTTGAACCTGGGAGGCAGAGGTTGCAGTGAGTGGAGATTGTGCCACTGCACTCCAGTCTGGTGACAGAGCGAGACTCCGTCTCAAAAAAAAAAAGAAAGAAAGGACCCCTTGGCTGGGTATGGTGGCTCAGGCCTATAATCCCAGCATTTTGGGAGGCCAAGGCGGATGGATCATGAGGTCAGGAGTTCGAGACCAGCGTAGCCAAGATGGTGAAACCCCATCTCTACTAAAAATACTAAAATTATCCTGGCGCCCTTGGGGTAGTCTGTAATCCCAGCTACTTGGGAGGCTGAGGCAGGAGAATCGCTTGAACCTGGGAGGTGGAGATCAGGCCACCGCACTCTAGCCTGGGTGGCAGAGCAAGACTCCGTCTCAAAAAAAGAAAAAGGGAAAGGGTTCCTTGATAGTCTTTGGTTTGTGTCTCATGACTCAGAGCCAGTTATTCCAGTGGTTGATTCTTGAAGGTAGGGGCCTAGCCACTGGTCTGCCTAGCTTTTTGTGGTCCTTTTAATAACTCAGGCAGCTAGGTGAGGGAGCAGGTAATGTTCAGTTCCTTTTCACTTAAGGTAAGCTGAGTCCTGGTGGGAGTTGAGATTGTAAGTGATAGGGGCTTGGTCCAAGAGGTCAGAGTTTTGTAACCTTTTCCTATCAGTGTGAAAACCAGATGCCATCTGATGACTAGATGAAGGTTTCATTCACCTTTTGCAGGCTGTTTTGGTCAGGACTAAAGAATGTAGGTTCATTAACTGCCAGACACAGAAAGGCCACTAAGGGATCAAGTTTACCTCCTTTCACAGATAGTGATATTGAAGTCTAAAGAGGGGAAGAATTTGAAGGAATCTACTTAGATAAGCATGAGAGTTCTCATCTGAGTACTAACGCTTTGGTGTCATCATTGGTACCTCTGTACCCAGGTTATCTCATTTAAAATAAGGGCAGGAATCCTTACTAAAAATTGTAGATCTTGCAACTGCCTTTGCCAGATAATATAATTGTGATGCTAGTGTGAATGCTTAGCAAGATTAAAATCTGAGATCCATGGTGTGGCTGGCTGGATAACTTGACTAAGGTGTTAAAAATAAAATTAAGGCTGGATCTCAAACCTTGACTGTTCCATCTTACGTTTGTTTTTTTCTTCTCCCTGTGCTATAGGTGATGTCACATGCAATCAGAAACTATGCCACTGGTGAAGAGATATATTGAGCCCTGCCTGGTTAACCTCCAGTGAGGTTATTAGAGAATTGGGAGAGGCTCAAATCAGCATCCTGCACATAGTCATCAAACCATTGTGAAGTCTTGGTAAGTGGTCAGTGGCTTTGGTGGGCTTGTCCAGTTAGTGGGATGGGGTAGGGTAAGCGTTTTTTTTTTTTTTTTTTTTTCTGAGACAGAGTCCTGCTTTGTCCCCCAGGCTGGAGTGCAATGGTGCGATCTTGGCTCACTGCAACCTCTGTCTCGCGGGTTCAAGCAATTCTCCTGCCTCAGCCTCCCAAGTAGCTGGGATTACAGGCACCCACCACCACGCTTGGCTAATTTTTATATGTTTAGTAGAGACAGGGTTTCACCATGTTGGCCAGGCTGGTCTCGAACTCTGACCTCATGATATGCCTGCCTCAGCCTCCCAAAGTGCTGGGACTACAGGCGTGAGCCACTATGCCCGGCCTGGTAAGTTTTCTTAATAGGCACTAGGCAATTACTGGATATTTTCACATTATGATATGAAAAAAGCCTTAAAATATTCAGGCCGTACTGTAGAATAAATAATCTAATCTCTTTTTTCCCTATTCTCCCATTTTTACAGATGGGGGAATTAGAAATTTCCCAAGATTATATGAGGCCATAAAGTAGATGGTGCAAATTGCCCAAGATTATAGCTAGTTGGCATAGAAAATGGATTTGAATCCAAGCCAGTACTGTGTCTTCTACTCAGTCCTTCATCTAGGTTCTATCAAATCCAAAGAAGCCATGTGAGACAGAAATGTTTTTATTTCACAGTAAAATACTTCTTTTCTTTTTTTTTTTTAAATAGAGATGGGGGTCTCATTGTGTTGCCCAGGGTGGTCTTGAACTCCCAGGCTCAAGTGACTCACCCACCTTGGTCTCATTTCACACTAAAAGATTTCCATAATAGCTCCTGAGATTTTACTCCTCTGATGTTGGAAATTTCCATGGTGAAAAGTTTTATTATGCAAAAAATCACCTGGGGTGCTTGTTAAACATGCAGATTCCTGGATGGCCAGAAAACTTGTCCTTGGTCAAGAGCAACATTAAGATCTGCCTGTTACTCATACCAGTGCTTTCTGCCCAGCAAGTTTCATCAGAGGGCGAGGATGAACTATGGTTGCCACAGATGTCCTTGTGAGGCAGTTGGGAAGCCTTGGTAAGTTGTCAGTGGCTTTGGTGGGGTTCCCCAGTTGGTGATAAAAAAGAGAAGGGAAACTGGTCATGATCTGGCCCTTCTAGCCTTCTTTCAACAGTTATTAAGTACTTAACTAACTACCAGAGAATGTTGCAGACATTAACAAAGTCTTGCCACAGAACTTTTGTTCTTGTGAAGTTAGACAAAGGGATAAGTAACCAGTAAATGTATAATGTATCATAAGTGTTATATCAATTCTTTTTTTCCCATTATGTTGTGGAAAATGATTAGGTTAAACTAAGCAACATCTTGTGGTTTTCTCCCTTCTTCCCATTCTCCTTTTTAATACCTGCCACAGTTGCTCAATGCAATGGAGGCTGACCAAACTGAGTGTTGGGAAGGTCAATGCAGTCTTTTTTCTTTTTGTAACTTCTCACTAGACTGGATTGTGAAGGATATTTGAAAAGTATTTTAAAGTCTACCAGATCCTCCATGTGAGTGACCATGCAGCAAAAGAGTGAGGGTCCTCTCAGTGATTAAGGTAACATAGTGATTAAGGTAAGTAGGGGAAGAGAGGCTGACTTTGCCCTGATTCTTGTCAGGGAGGCTCTTAGAAATGCCATTTCCAGAGTATAAGTGACAGGCCAGCACTTTCAAAGCCTGCAACTTACTCTGTAATATATCCTTCTTAAAACGATTCATGTAGATTATATGCTTATCCAGTCTGTGATCACTCCTGCAGAAGATCAGAATAACTGAAATATGGGTGATATAAGCTCCTGCTTTTGTAAATGTTTTGTTGAAACACAGTTGTGTTCATTCATTATTATCGATAGCAGCTTTTATTCTACAACAGAGTTGAGTAGTTGGAATAGAAACCATATGGACCATAGAGCTTGAAATATTACTGTACTGTCTGGCCCTTCACAGAAAGTTTGCCAATTCTTGGCATAGGTTAAATAAATGTACTATGTCCACAAATCCTCCTCTCCCTATTTTCCTTTCAATGGGACTTGCATTTACAGTTGATCCTAGAATGTATGGAATCTCATAGTAATCACATTGCTTCTAAATTTCTTCCCACTCAAATTAAGCTCACCAAGAAAGCATATTCACAAATTGGGCTACATATACATAAGGAACTATGTTTTATATGCCTTACTGTAGTTAACTAATTTATTCTATATGTATGGTTCCCCCATTTTTTCCTTCTATTAAGGGGTAACTTTTAAAATTGAGCCATTCATGAGTATCCAAAAAGTTACAACTTATGTTTTCTAATTAAGACTTTATCCTTATTTGAGTACACTTCCCCTCTCTGGCTTTTTTTGCATATTTCTGCAGACGTCTAAGGGGGAATAAACCCCCTTAGAAGATTAATTTTCTGCAGTTCCCTATTGAGGAAATACATGACATTTAGCTTTTTAATAATTTGATGCCATTCATTGAGCACCTGCTTTGTGCTTTATGTACCCTGTCTCATTGAATTCTTATAGAAAACTGAAAGAGTTAGTTTTGTGTTGAGTTGTTACTACCACCATGTCAACAATGAGTCTTAGAAAGCTTAAGTAACTTTACCTAGGTCACATTGTAATCAGTGGCAGAACTGGGACTTAAGAGCATTTTCTTCTCTCTCTCTCTCTCTCTCTCTCTCTCTCTCTCTCTCTCTCTCTCTCCCTCTCCCTCTCTCTCTCTCTCCCTCTCCCTAAGAGATTGGGTCTCACTATGTTGCCCAGGTTGGTCTTGAACTCCTGGGCTCAAGCAATTCTCCTGCCTCACCTCCCAAAGTGTTAGGATTATAGGCATGAGCCCTCATGCCCACCCCTTGCATTTTCTATTTAAGTGGTCTTAAAGTTTTTTTGTTTTTTTTTTTTCCTTTTTAAGTCTTGGAATTCGGCCTTTAGTAAGCGTAGAACAGCAAACTGTAATACCTGAACTGGGGAAAAATTCCTTGAACTCTTTAGGAAAGACTTAGTTGATGGGTACAAAGTAAAATGCTCAGGAATCAGATACCAGTATTGATTACCTATCCATACATATCCTTCTTCACTCTGCCCTGGCATATCATGGTTGATGTATATAGCAATGATCATCCCTTCTGTAATTCTTCTTAACAACTTAGAAGTGAATTGGTAATACTCTTCTAGCTAAAACCCTTCTTTAGGTGAGTGTGGTGGCTCCCATATTATCCCAGCACTTTGGGAGACTGAGGTGGAAGGATTGCTTGAGCCCAGGGGTTTGAGACCAGCCTGGGTAACATAGCAAGACCATGTGTCTACAAAAAACAAAAAATTAGCTGGGCATGGTGGTACATCCCTGTAGTCCCAGGTACTCAGGAGGTTGAGGAGGGAGGATTATTTGAGCCTGGGAGGTTGAGGCTGCAGTGAGTTGTGATCAAACCATTGTACTCCAGCCTGGGAGAGCGAGACCCTCTCTCAAAAACAAGAAACAAAAACAAACACAAACTCAAGTCCTCCTTCTCAGCAATTTCTCTCCATTTTTTCTTTCTTTCTTTTTTTTTTTTTTGTGAGATGGCATTTCATTCTGTTGTCCAGGGTGAAATGCAGTGGCATGATCTCAGCTCACTGCAACCTCTGCCTCCCGGTTTCAAATAATTCTTCCGCCTCAGCCTCCCGAGTAGCTGGGACTACAGGCATGCGCCACCATGCCCGGTTAATTTTTGTATTTTTAGTAACGATGGGATTTCACCATATTGGCCAGGCTGGTCTCGAACTCCTGAACTTGTGATCCACCTGACTCTGCCTCCCAAAGTTCTGGGATTACAGGCATGAGCCACTGTGCCTGGCCAGTTTCTCCTTCTTATCCGAGGCCAGCCACATACCTACTTTCTAAGAACTTCCTTGCTATCTTAATCTTTTCAAGGCAGGTGACAGCTTTATATAGTAAATATGTCTTCATACCCAAAGAGACTAGGTCAGGAGCCACCTTTTTTTTGTTTTTGCTTTTAATAGCTAGTGATTTTGAGATGACGGGGTTTCTGGGAGGGATTGGGAACCTTTAAGAATTCTGTTAACTTTTTAGAACTTTAATACCAGATGGGATCAGGTACATAAATAGTTGTAGGTAGAAGAATTCCCAGAGTAGGCATATTAAGTGTCAGGTGCAGGATAAACTATGGTTCCCTTCCAGTGAAAGGACACCTGGATGTGATCATTGTTTCCATAGAAGGGTCGAACAATATGGCAGACACAATGGTCTCCCACAGAGAAATGAGCCGTAAAAAGGCCCTGTAAAAGCAAGGATGGCTCATTGTTTTAAGATAGCCAAATGTATGGCACTTGGAGAATTTCCAAGAGTGGAAGGCCTTCTTGATTGCACTCCCCTTTAACTGGTGGTGTAGCACTTATTGGCCTTTTCACAGCCTTGCCTCTTATGGGACTAGTGGAGCATTGAAATGGTTCATAGGTAAAGTGAAAAATGGTTATGCGTAGTGTGTCAGCCCACCCTAAGCTCCCAGAGCCTCCATTCTGAGTACAAAGGTCAGTTTTCTTATTGGGACAGGCTAAGGATGATGGGGTTTTAATTTCTTTCCTGATCCATGGCAAAGCATTCCTAAACTAGGCACTGGATGTCTTGGTAACTGGAAAGAGACGTTCACTAAGTTGAGGAAGGCCAAAGCCAAGTGACCTTATATAGTCCCTAGATAGAAAGCATTCCATTTTATGGAATAATTTTTGGTCTCTTTTTTTTTTTTTTTTTTTTTTTTTGAGACAGTGACTCAGGCTGGAGTGCAATGATACAATCACTGCTCATTGCAGCCTTGACTTCCGTGCATAGGTGATCCTCTCACCTCAACTTCCCGAGTAGTTGGGATTACTGGCACATACCACGATCCCCAACTAATTTTTTGTATTTTTTGTAGAGACGGGATTTTCCCATGTTGCCCCGGCTGGTCTCAAACTTCTGGACTCAAGCAATCCACCTGCCTTCACCTCCCAGAGTGCTGGGATTACAGGTGTAAGATACCATGCCTGGCCCTGGTCTCCTTTCTTAATCCTGTTGAATAAGCAAGATTTTTTTATCTGAACCCTCCTCTTACTTACTTTTTTTTCTGTTCTCCTTCCATGATCGCTTTGTCCATCTTCTTTTTTGTCACAGGTTTGTCCTATTTCTAATTCCCTTTCTCTTTTCTTTCTTAGGCTAGCCTTTGAGACTGCATTACACTTCCCAACTTAAGGTCTTTTGATAATCCAGGCAGCTGGGTTATACTCAACTTCAAGTCTTTTTGTTGTAGCAGTATGGCATTTATCTGGGGCATAGGGTACACACAGTAGGTTTCTCTTCTCTCTTTTTTTAACGTATTTGTTATGTTTATGCATGTAAAGAATATATTGTTGGCCAGGTATGGTGGCTTATGCCTGTAATCCCAGCACTTTGGGAGGCTGAGGTGGGTGGATCACTTGAGGTCAGGAGTTCGAGACCAACCTGGCCAACATGAAGAAACCCCGTCTCTACTAAAAATACAAAAATTAGTGGGGCATGGTGGCTCATGCCTGTAATTGCATCTACTCGGGAAACTGAAGCAGGAGAATCGCTTGAGCCCGGGAGGTGGAGGTTGCAGTGAGCTAAGATTGTGACATTGCACTCCAGCCTGGGTGACAGAGGGAAGCTCTGTCTCAAAAAAAAAAAAAAAAGTTTGGAAACCACCAAAAAGTAGTATTAAGAGGGAAATAAAAATTACTCATGATCTTAGGACACTGTCATGTGCTATTTTTAGTCTTATTCACCCGCTTTTCTCTTTACACAACATACTTTTAGGTTTTAAATTTTATTATTATCTAAATTTTTTTTTTTTTTCAGATGAAGTCTCGCATTGTTGCCCAGGCTGGAGTGCAGTGGCATGATCTTAGCTCACTGCAACCTCTGCCTCCTGGGTTCACTCAATTCTCCTGCCCCAGCCTCCCAAGTAGCTGAGATTATAGGTGCGCACCACCACACCCAGCTAATTTTGTATTTTTAGTAGAGACAGGGTTTTACTGTGTTGGCCAGACGGGTCTTGAACTCCTGACCTCGTGATTTGCCTGCTTCTGCCTCCCAAAGTGCTGGGATTACAGGCTTGAGCCACTGCGCCTGGCTCTATTATCTAAATGTTAATTTTAAATATTAATTTTAGTGTACTTCTTTGATTATTTTCTTTAGAGAAATTTCTGGTTATAGAATCAAGCTTATTAGCATTCACTGTATATAGTAGCATCATTAAAACTAGCTAGACCCAAGAAGCAGATATTGAATGGGTACCCCTTCTTTACTTTCCTCTGATTCACTCTATTCTGGTGCTCACAGCTAAGTGAGTATGTACACCAATGGCCTATCGTTTGGTCAGTTATCTTTTGTGCTCTGAAATGTCTTTGTTTTTCCATCTGCTTTCAATACCTCTATGCCCTTTGTATATAAGGGTAACCATATTGTTCTTTCCTGCAAAATAATAACACCTTTCCTTCCACTCAGAATAACTGCCTAATACATACAATGAATAAGGGTCACATAGACTCAAGAGTAGTGATGGAGGTTGGATGTGGTAGCTTGTCCCTGTAATCCCAACACTTTGGGAGGCTGAGGTGGGAGGATTGCTTGAGCACAGGCGTTTGAGATCAATCTGGGCAACATAGCGAGATCTCACCTCTGCTGAAAAATAAAAGTTAACTGGATATGGTGATGCATGGTTGTAGTCCCTTATAGTCCCAGCTACTCGGGAGGCTGAAGCAGGAGGATCACTTGAGTCCAGGAGTTTATGTTTGCAGTAGCTATGGTCATGATGCTGCACTCCAGGCTGAATGACAGAGCAAGACTCTCTCAAAAAAAAAAAACAAAACAAAACAAAAAAAAAACAACAAAGTATGTGTGACTTCATCGTTTCTCATCACTCAGTGTTCTTTCCCTTACACCAGATCATAAGACAGTATTCTGACTTGACAACTTAGGTCAGTTTATTAGAAATAGTCTTTAATTAATTTGGTAAATTACTATGAATGAACATTTCATTCATTCTGCTAGGTCTTAGGTTTTGCCAGCTGTTCCATTAAGGGACACTCTATGGCGCGGGTTGGCAAACTTTTTCTGTAGAGGGCTAGGTAGTCTCTCTATTCAACCCTGCTGATGTAGCATGAAAGCATACATAGACAATATGGAAACAAATGAGCATGATTGTGTTCTGATAAAACCTGATTTACAAAAACAGGTAGCAGGTTGGATTTGGCCCATGGGGCCATAGTATGCTGATTCCTGCTTTGCAGTATACATACACAAAGACTTTCAAACAGAAAGATGTATACAATAAAACAACCATTCAGAGTGATTTGATTTACAGTGTGTACAATATAATAAAAATAATACAGCTGTATTTGAGTCAGCACTGAAAAGTCTCCTCTGAACTGTGTCTTCTTACCTGCATGAATTGCAGAATATTCATATGAATACCATGAATATTCTTTATTGGCCATGTTATTACCATCCCTTAGATGAATCTCTTCATTGTCATGAGTCTTTCTTTGCATGGTTTAGAAGTGATGTTGTCTTTATATTATGTTATTTGTTCTTAACCTTACATTATCAGCTCTGGTGTGATTACCTTTTTCATCAACATGTCTTCTACCCTACTTAGGCTTATAAGTGAATTTAATACAGAGTTTATTTTGGATATAATCATGGTCTTAACAGGTAAGGTAGTGGGACTGTGCTATGTCAAACCCTAAATTTGGCTTTCAGGATGAGGAAGTATTAATTCTTCCACTGATATCTCAAAAGGTGATCTGGACAAAGGAACAGGTATCTCAGTCAGGTAAGTGATGGTTGAATATAAAAGTAAATATTATTCTTTGACCTTTTTGTTGTATTTGTTATGTTTAATAGCTTTCCTAATAATGAACCAACCTTGTATTTTTTTTTGAGACGGAGTTTTTTTTTTTGGAGATGGAGTCTCGCTCTGTCGCCTAGGCTGGAGTGCAGTGGCGCGATCTCGGCTCACTGCAACCTCCGCCTCCCGGGTTCAAGCATTTCTCCTGCCTCAGCCTCCCAAGTGGCTAGGATTACAGGTGCGCATCACCATGCCCAGCTAATTTTTCGTATTTTTTTTTTTAGTAGACATGGGGTTTCACCATGCTGGCCAGGCTGGTCTCTAACTCCTGACATCATGATCCACCCGCCTGGGCCTCCCAAAGTGCTGGGATTATAGGCATGGGCCACTGCACTTGGCCAGATTCATAATTTTCAAGAATTTTGTATTATGTTTGCTAAATTTGATATTTTAAATTTTATTTTTTTTTTATTTCTTATTTTTTTCATTATCCCCTTCTCTAAGTTAGAATAAAATTTATTTTCTATTTGATGTATTATTTTTTTTCCTTTTTTTCTTTTCTTTTCTTTTCTTTTTTTTTTTTTTTTTTTTGGATACAGTGAGGGTCTTACTCTGTTGTCCATGCCGGAGTGTGGTGGTACTATCATGGCTCGCTGCAGCCTTGGCCTCCCAGGCTCAAGGGATCCTCCTACTTCTCAGCCTCCTGAGTAGCTGGGACTATAGCTGCAACCACCACACCCAGATAACTTTTGTGTTTTTTGTAGAGATGGGGTTTCTCCATGTCACCCAGGCTGATCTCAAACTCCTGGGCTCAAGCTATCCGCCCGCCTTACCCTTCCAAAGTGTTGGGATTACAGGCGTGAGCCACCAAGCCCACCCTTTTTCTGTGTTCAAAAGTGAGTTTTGCAGGGGATGGCAGTCTTTTGCAATCGTTGATGTTATGGTCACTAATGAAATATTTTGTTGCCTGTTGTTTTAAACTGAATCAATCTCAAATATATCCCATGCCATTAAACATACTTTAATAACATCTTGTAAAAACTGGCACGTAGTAAACCACTGCATGAATGTAAAAATTTAACTTGTATCTGATATTTGGAACCTTGTTTTAATTACTGCTCTTTTAATTATGTGTAAATAATGCTACAGTGACTCTGTAGATAAACTTTGGTACATATGTGTGTTTATTTTCTGAGGCTGGAAAGAATATGTAGTCCTTCTAGTAGTGTGTAAGAATGCCTATTTTTTTTTTAACTTTTTCTCCAGTATACTGTATTAAGGTTTTAAAATATTTTGCCAATTGTAAAGGTAAATTTGATATTTTAATTTGTATTTCTTTGATCCCTAACAAGATAGAACAGATAAAAATCTTGGGTCTTATTTTTGAGTTTATTTTTCACACTTATTTTTAGTCTATCATATGTTGCAGATATTTCCCCCAGTTTGGCCTATAAATTATTAATTTGTATGTAGCTCAAATATCTTTTTCTTTACCCACTTGTGGTTTATAATAGGAAGATAAATATATTTTCTTATAGTTCATAATTCCTTTATACTTTTTATTTATTTATTTATTTATTTAATACAAATCTTTCCCACTGGGAACCTCTTTGGTGTGTGGTATGTAACTAGTTTTTCTAAATGTCCAGCACATTCAGGGCTTGGGGGGTTGTAGAAAGGGTACTTGTGGAGCTCTCAACAGCAGGACTTTCCAAATCTTTTCTCCAGTGCTCTGCTTTTAACATTACTTAAATATTCTCTGAGCCTGTTTCAGTTTTCCTGACATTGGCTTATGCTCTCTTCTATGATGGGAGCTGGCAAACTTTTTCTCTAAAAGGCCTGATGGTAAATATTTTAGGTTTTGTGGGCTATATGGTTTCTACTCTTGTAGCATGAAAGCAGTCATAGACAATACATAAATGAATGAGCATGGCTGTGTTCCAAGAAAACTATTTAAGAAAAAGGTAGTGGGCTGGATTTGATTTGTTGGCTGTAGTTTGCCAATACCTGCTTTATGATACTGTTCTCTTATGACTTCTGCTCACATAGTTTCTGCTTAGTCATAGAGAGCTTCCTCATATTTATGCCTTTGATTTTCCCTTGTAACTTCTTAGAGTACCTTTTTTACCTCTGGTCTTTGCTACTGATTACCTGTTTCCATATTTCACAATTTTAAGTTTCCGAGAGCACAGGCAGTAGCTAAATTAGATCCTTTTTATGTCACCACTATCATGTACTTTGCTTGGCTGTCTCCCCTGTTGCTTTAATATAACCTATTCCAAATAGCTACATTCCTTTTGAGGGTCTCTTCTTTGGAATCGAGATTTCATTGGAAGAAATGGGCTCATTTGGATCATTTTAAAGAAGTTTATGGAGTTCAACTCTAGTGTGGTATCATTAATGTGATTAAGCTCTTCTCTTTTTCTTGTGCGCGTCATCTTGCTCCTACTACGGATTGGTTTCCTCATACTCTGTCTTCCTCTGACGTCCTGGCTACTGAATACTTACATTTTTTTCTCATTAATAACTTGAGCTTTTGCAACTGCTATAGGTGTGACTTTCCTTTTACATCACCTTTCTCTCTACAGACTATTGGCTTTAGCCCTTTCTGCTCTCCATGCTGCCAAGTTGTCAATGAGAATCTGATTCCCGGTGGGTTGTTAGGTTTCCTGAGACCTTAGAGATAGTAGTTGCTATTTGGCAGGTCTTGGACATTTCTCCCTATTGATTACTATGTGCAAATGTATCTCTTACCCTATTTATAATACAACATTGCTTTAGCCTAACACAATCCAGCTACTATAAGTGTATCCAGAATCAAGCTCTAAAACTAGAATGCAACCCAGTCATGTAGCATCCAGAAATATCTGACCATCTTTGGAACTTGACAGTCTCATAGTTAACTCTGCAACCTTACTCTCCTTATATCCTGAGGCTATTTTATATGCCTGTTAGATTATATCAGATCTACTTTCTGATCTACAGTTTGATCTACATTCTGATCTACAAATACTTTTTGTTTGTTCCTGCTTATAGGCATTATTGGTTCTCATCACTCAGTATTCTTTCCCTTACACCAGATGATAATATAGTATTCTTTTTTTTTTTTTTTTTTTTGAGGCAGGGTCTTGCTCTGTCCACCCAGGCTGGAGTGCTGTTGTACGATCTTGGCTCACTGCAACCTCCGCCTCCTGGCTCTAGCAATTATCTCACCTCAGCCTCCTGAGAAGCTGGGACTACAGGTGTGCGCCACTACACCCAGCTCATTTTTGTATTTTTTGTAGAGATGGGGTTTTGCTATGTTGCCCAGGCTGGTCTCAAACTTCTGAGCTCAAAGCGATCTGCCTGCCTCAGCCTCCCAAAGTGCTGGGATTATAGGCATGAGACACCATGCCATGTGCATAATATAGTATTCTGACTTGACAATTTAGCTCAGTTTATTAGGAATGTCTTTAACTAATTAGGTAAATTACTAGGAATGTAGTAAATTACATTACTGCCATGAACTCCCTTCCTGCTACATACTCACTTCCTCATTTCTATTCTTTATCCTATTGCTAATGGATAGTTTCTGCTTCTTTATTTTTTTTTAACTTCTTTATTTTATTTTATTCTATTTTATTTTATTTTAATAAAGGCAGGGTCTCTCTATGTTGCCCAGGCTATTACTGAACTTCTGGCCTCAAGTGATCTTCCCGCCTTGACCTCCCAAAGTGCTGGGATTACAGGCATGAGCCACCATACCTGACCAGTTTCTGCTTATTTATAGCTTCTGACTCCTGTGCCTACTCCTCACAAGGATATATTTAAATCTTTCATGCTTCTTAACTAGCTGTGGTATGTTCTTTTACCACGTATCCATTTACTTCAGCTGCTGAGTTTCTGTTCTTCTGTTTTTCCCAATTGCGAATTGAATCTAGTTTTCTCATCTTATCCTTGTTTGGGGAGGGCTTTCATGTCACAAGTCATAGGCTATTTATTGACCAGCTTGTGGATGTATTCCCCTGGGTCTGAGCCTTACTTGCTTTTGGTCCGACTAACTTTGGATTTGGAGGAGGGAGAGTTGGTCATAAGAAAGCTTTCTTAGCAGGCATGTTTGCCTGGCAAAGAAAGTTTTTCTTTAGAAAGATTTTGCGTGTGGGTAACACTATGACACATTCATTCTATCTGATTTAGCTCTCTGAAGCTGCTTAATCGCAGCGTCTATGAAGTGTCTTAAAAACTCACTTTCTCCTGGGTAAAAGCTTTAAAAGTTCCACGATCTCACAAGCTGGTTTGCACAACATCTTCAAAACAAATAGGATTCTCTTCAGGTTCTTAGCCAGTTTCCTAAACTGCATTCCTCCTAGCGGGGCTGTTCTGCTTCTTGCTATTGGTTAGGCACTTGTGATTGCTAGAAACAAATTCTCTTTCGATCTCACATAATGACAGGTTATTTGCAGGCTACCTGTGGGGGAATAATAGTGAGTTGGATCACATGTAGTTTCACATACAGGTGATCTGGATGTGTATAGGTTGTATGCATTTACTAGAGCATTTTATATAAAAGACTTGAATATCTGTGGCAGATTCTGGAACCAATCCTGCTTTGGATACCAAGGGGGACCTTAATATGATTATGCCTGTTAGGGATGGGAACTGGATTCAGAGAAGCTCTAGGAAACTCAGCAGCCAGAGTTTGTACATCTTTCTGTTAGTGTTGTGCCATCGATGTAACTTACTACTTTGTCTCTGCTTATCTTTTGTGTCTTATAATTTCTACTTTTAAGTATTGGCTCACCCATCCACACTTCGTTTTTTTTCACCTTTTTTTTTTTTTTTTTTTTCTTGAGATGGAGCCGTGATCTGTCACCCAGGCTGGAGTGCAGTGGTGAGATCTCAGCTTACTCTGACCTCCGCCTCCTGGATTCAAGTGATTCTCCTGTTCAACCTCCCGAGTAGCTGGGATTACAGGCATCTGCCACCATGCCTAGCTAATTTTTGTA